CATCAGCATACCAGCAAACCAACTCTAGGTAGCCGTAAACCGAACAAAAATCTGGAACAAACAAACGCACAGGAGGAAAACACACCAAGCAGGAAACCAAAAATTACTAATTCCTCTGCTTCTCTTGATATCCTTACTTGGTGGCTCATCCCACTTAGTAAGTGGGTTATAACCCCAGTTATAAGGGGATTAACCCTACTTATCCCATGTATAACTGGGGTTATAACCCACTTACGAGCCGTGGGATGAGCCACCAAGTAGATTGTGCAAATCAAGACTCGATTCGCGGATAAGGAGATTGACCAAATGACACAACACGCCATCCAGATGGTGGGTTTGGCCTCAGCGCAGCCACAAAAGTCTCGGTTCCCGACAAGACTTGCTTGGGCAGAATGAGGTGAAAAAAAGTCGATATATATATATATAATATTATATATTATATATATAAAGCCTTTAAAACCTCTTAGCAGCTACACTTAACCTCTCTGTACTGATCATTCGACATCGAGTCGATAGCACTGCCAGTGACAGCAACAATAGATTGGATCGTATCGAACGTCCTATGTCTTGCCCGCGCCTGTTGGCCCGCCTTCTTCGTATGAGCTGAACACGTGGTAAAAATGGGATATTTTAGCATTAGGGTTAACTTGATGTTCTAGATCAGAACGCACAGCAGAGGGACCTGTGCGGGTTCGTTCCACATCATCATCATCATCATCATCATCAATGAAGATCTTCAACAAATATAGAAGTTTAACCCCGGTGGGAGAATTAAACCCTTATTAAAGATCTTCAATGAATGTAGAAGTTTAACGGGGGTGGAAGAATTAAATCCGCCCTTGTTGAAGATCTTCAATGAATGTAGAAGTTTAACGGGGGTGGGAGAATTAAACCCTTATGGAAGGCCTTCAATGAATGTAGAAGTTTAACCCCGGTGGGAGAATTAAACCCTTATTGAAGATCTTCAATGAATGTAGAGGTTTAGCGCGGGTGGAAGAATTAAACCAGCCCTTGTTGAAGATCTTCAATGAATGTAGAAGTTGAACGGGGGTGGGAGAATTAAACTCTTATTGATGGCCTTCAATGAATGTAAAATGAATGTGAAGTTTAACGGGGGTGGGACTTTTATATTCCCTAATACCTTTGTTGATCTTCCCAAGACAAGAAGGGTGTGGGCGAAACGGGGTTTTTGCGCGTAATTTAACAGAGCTATGGAAAACATTTCAATAGGTAAATCATCCATAAATGGGTCATGTTCCATAGCTAATATTGATTTTTCATAAAGTAAATCCCCAGTTATATCACCAGTCATATTCCTTTCATATTCTTTTCATATCCGATACTTATTCAAAGAATCTCCAATTTATAACCCGTACAAACATTACAACCATTGTAATTAACCATTAGAACCATCAGAACCATAGGGTAAATCAAGCAATTCCCAATGTTGCTTGGGTCATGTAGTTGTCACCAAAGCCATGTTTACCAGCCCCAAGTCATCAGAATTGTTTTTTAATCTGGAATTCCAACCATCCCCATTTTTATGGGTAGATTAAGAAAGGGGGGCACCATCCAGTCATCTAGCTTATGGGGAATGCAATGGTTTATACACCAACAGACATAACTACCCTCTGGTAAACTAACATAACTATGGAAAATCACCATTTTCAATGGGTAAATCCACTATTTCTATGGGCCATTTTCAATAGCTACGTTAAATTACCAGAGGGTAGTATTCATTCGCTCTACAGACCAGCAAACATTAAGAAACTGCCGGGCACCATCTGTCCAGAGTCCAGATAGTCCAGATACTTCAGCGCTTGGAAGGTCAACTCCCGCACTGGCACGATGCGCTTGTCCCGCGCGGGACCGATGAAGGATGGAGCCGCGGACAGATCTTCCATGACCTGGGCCATGGGGCCATGGGGCCATGGGTGGATGTTACAAGGTGGTGCCCCCAAACGATAGTGTTCAGTTGGTAGGTATATAACTCCAATTTCATTATGGTTTTTGTTGGTGATATATCTATAGTATTCATGGGGTTTAAAAACCAATTTATAACGTTTTGGGGGCACCACCTTGTAGGGAGGACATTGAAAGAGGGAACACACATCATTAAGGTGATTTGAAGAGAATTCTATAGGCATAGTTCATCATGTTTCAATGGTCTTTGAATCTTTCGAAATCTTCTGTTTGTTTGTCGAGTTTTGCCGTCGGAACATCTACGTTGATGCTAAAGATGGAAAACAACTACTAGGTTGATTTCGGAGAAATCTACAGAGAAAACGCGTGCTTAAACACTAAAATACAGGTGATTATTACTGATTGGTGGTGCAATAACCATCTTGAAAAATATGAGTTCGATCTTTGGCTCGCTTATTATCTTTACCCTCTGGTAATTTAACATAGCTCTAGAAAATCACCATTTTTCATTACGGTAAACCATCTATTTCGATTAGGGCCATGGCTTCCATAGGGCGTTTCCCCATTTTTCGTGCCCATTTTGCTGAACAATACGGCCATCCCCATGTTCGCTTCGCTTTCGGCCATACCAGGCCATGGCACAGGCTTCAATACTTTTAACCACGTAGATCCGTGGCCCATCCCAGCGAACAAGGGCTCCAGGACTAATGGGTCCTGACAACGATGGCTGGTTGACAAACCATGGCTGGTTGGTGGTTGGTTTCTACCATTTTGTGGTAATATACTGTTAATAATTGTTAATATATGGTTATTATATGATTAATATACTGTTAATGATGATGGTTATTATATGTTAATTTCATGTGGTTTTCCATGGGTTTTGATACAATGTGGGCCCCCCCAGTGATGTTTGTTGGTTTAGATTCGCCCCAGTAACTATAGTTATTTGCGTACCATAAACCATAGTTATTGGAGTTATAAACCAACTTAGCTATCTTGGGGGCCTCACATTGTTGCTGGTTGGTGGTTGACCTACCCCTCTGCTACCCCTCTGAAAAATCATGGAGTTCGTCAGTTGGGATGATTATTCCCAATATCTGGAAAGTCATAAAAACAGTTCCAAACCACCAACCAGATGGGCGTGTTCCCATGGTGTTTTCCCTCGTTTCCCCTTTGGATTAATTGGGGTCAGAACGTGTGTCCAACATTGTCCATCAACAAAGCAGGTTTAACAATCGAATCATAGGGACCTTTGAATCCAAGAATCGAGACACATATATAGGACTTCACCGTGAACCACTCAAGCTTCGAAAAAGGATGTCATGGATAAGCGATATAACACGGCGATGTCAACCAATCATTAATCGCTTGGAAGTCTTTCAACGGGCCTCCATTCATCGCCATTCATCGCTCCAGGGGACAGAAAAATGCAAGAAATGCAACAATTGCTGGTTGGTGGTTTCAACCTACCCCTCTGAAAATGATGGAGTTCGTCAATTGGGATGATGATCATTCCCAACTTTTCATGGAAAGTCATAAAATTATGGTTCCAGTCACCACCAACCAGACATGTCAAGTGTGCATTGAATCAACTTACTGCTAGCTGAACATTCTGAGATTGGCCAAGGCCGTGGGGGACCGAGCCCCCCCGAGATACTTCGTCGTTCAGATTGGTTAAGATCGATCCGTTAACGAAAAATCACTAACCCATATGCTCCATGGTGCTGGAATATGAATCCGTACATTTACCTCAAAAATCAACCAGTTTTGTAGGGATTCATATTCCAGCACCGTGGTTCGCATCTGGGGAACACAATCCATCCAAGACTCATCTAGATATCTCTGCTGCACGCGGTATCTCAACTCTCTGCTGCTTATGCTGTTGCTTGAAAGAGATCACACATTCCTACAACGTAAGGCCCCCCGAGTTACAAGTTGGTTTATAACCCGATTAATTGGTTCGATATATTCACCAGCACAGTGCTAGTTATAAAAAAGTTCTCTCAAGCAACTTAGCTAACTAACATAGATCAGTTATAAATCCCAAATCCCAATTTTTGGTGGGTTACCCTCTGGTAATTTAACATATATAGCTATTGAACATGGCCATAGAAATAGTGGATTTTCCCATTAAAAATGACCATTTTCAATAGCTATGTTAAATTACCAGAGGGTAGATCAACATGTTCCCATGGGAAACCGCCAGGATTCCTCACTCGTGGCACTCATGGCACTCGTGGTGCTGCTAGGCCCAGGGCTTTCAGTCTTCAGTTTTTTCTCGGGGGCTTCAGCCATCCTGCGACGTGGGCTACGCCTGAAAACTCAGTTCAGATATGGAAAACTTAGCATGTTTGAATATGTTGTTCCGTCAAAAATCATGGTTTTTGCATATTATATAAACAGATACATAAATGAATCTACTGAAAGGTACTGTACTCCAACATCGCCAAAATTTGCTGGGAAGCAATGTGAACAAATATGATCAACACTTTCGAAATTGGTGGTATTTCAAGGGACGACACTGGATCAAGTTTTCAAAGAAATCGAGGATCAGCTGGTCAGGCGACTATCATCCCAGGCAGGGATAACGGTACACAAGGTCTGAAACTACACATCAGTCAAAACACGTGATGAGAAACCGTCAGATTTTCTGCACACATTAGATTATCTGGTGTTGATGGTGTTGATGGTCTAACGGATGGTAATTCAGACATGTCAGATGGTTAATCTAACAAAAAAATCAACCTGAGACTATCTGCGCTCCAAGATGGGCACTAAAGACAAGCTGTGCCAAACTCTTGCCAATGGCAGAAACCGTAACGAAAAATCCCCAAGCTAAGCATAGTACAGCACTGGAGAGGAGATGAGATGTGGCAGTTTGTGTGACCCCTGCTGAGTGAAAAAAACGCAAACCGAGCTCGGCTCCTTAAAGTGATGATGATAAACTGAATATGCAGAAATCTCATGAACAAAAACACACGAGTCTTGAGACCCCCTTGTCGAAACTCATGATTTGTGTATTTGGACACGTCTGATACGGTGGATGGAAGAAATCCTGCACCAGCTGGTAGATGGTTTATCCCATTATAATTCCATTATTTACCGTGTTTCATAGTTACTAATAGTTATCAACTGGTGCAGGATGTCGCAACCATCCAGAATACGTCCCAGAATCTCAGGAGCTGTTTCTTTCTCCGGTTCTTTTCGCTTCTTCTCCTCACTTTAAGTGGGGGCCGCGACATACTCCGACCCTCGCTGAGCGAACAATGCTTAACAAGTTGATTTTAGGGAAGTCACGAGAAAGAGTTGGATAGAACTGTCAGGATGCTCAAAATCACCCACCCACCTGATGTATTTCAGCCACACAAAGGCTGCTATTTGCGTGCTGAACGACTTTTATAAAGTACAAAACATATACAAAACATCATCCGCAAAAAAAATGAAGTAAGTGCGTATCGAAATCCAGGAAAAAAAACAAAACAGTTTAAGGACCTTCCTTTTCCCATGCTTCACCACATCCATCACTTTCAGGAAAGGTTCAGCAGCACTCTTTGCTTCGGCCTTTGCAGTCGCCCTGGCTGCTGCCTTTGCCTTGGCTTTGCCCTCAGGACGTTTCTTGGCCGCTGCCTTGGCAAATCCGGGATATCTCAATGCACCAATTCGCGTCTGGTTGTTCAACATAGCTATGGACAATGATCAATTTATAAATGTTTTATGATGAATTACCTGTTAAACAAATATGTCTAACCCCTGGTCGCCCAAATTGGGAAAGTTAACGTATGCCACGCAAATATCGTACTCCACATACCAGAGCGGGAACGCACTCCACAAGTTTAACACACTCCACGAATTTAACGCACTCGGCAACAGTTGACGCATACCGTGCAAACATCGTACTCCTAACACCCCACATATAGTGGCTCTAGGCTATCTACAGGGAAAATGCATACCTGAACTTCATCGCCTATCATGGCAGTGCCTGGACAAATGACTTAAACTTGAAATGGGCATGCTCAATCCGCATACCTGTGTGGGAACGCACTCCACGAAGTTAACGCATACCGTGCAAACATCGTACTCCACATAGTAAGTCCAGGTTAGCTACAGGGGTAACGCATACCGATGCTTCATCGCATACCATACGATGCACGAATACCACCATTATACAGCCTTTTAGGGTGCTTCAGCCATTTTGGCTTGGAGTATGGCCAGCCTTGGAGTATGGGTAAGATTCTGGTAGAATATGATCTAGAGTTCCTGGAGCACCCTTTTTATCAATAAAGAACATATATTTTAGCGAGGTAAACTGCAGAAAGCACCTCAGTCAATGTTGATTTGCCTTCTTTACTGAATTGGTTTGAGACAAGTCATACGTGCGGTGCAACTTGTGAGGGTAGGAGGTCGCTGGGCACAATGCTTTACTCTACTGATCTGGTCCTGATTTTAGGCAATATATGGCAATAACAAGTAATCTCTATAGGACAAAGCAAGCTCCTTAATTTTCACGGTTGATGAAGCAAAACCATCACATGCCAGCTGGAATTCAACATCCATTTACACTGCCACTTCCAAAAGCTTGAAACTAGGTATATGCGTGTGTGTGTATTATATATATAGTGTGTTTTTTTAATGTATATCATGCATCATCTTTGAGAAACAAACTATATAACATCATTTCCCGGCAAAAAAGGTCAAAGACCTGGTACCCTCTATCGTTTGTCCCACAGACACAGAAAGCCACAGAAAGCCCAGAAAATTGGCCAATGTTCAATTGGGAAAATGGATGATCGACAAATGGCAATTAATGTTTAAAAACATGTCCTGGGAATTTATGATGTTTATGAATGTTTATGACATTTATGAAGCAATTTAATGTCCTGTGATGATTTATAAATTTTATCATGATTTATAATCCTGAATGAGGACATTTATATTAAACAAAAACACCAGGACAGGAGCGTGGCCATTGACAACTCAGTGACTTTGGCTTCCGCCTTCGCTTCTGCCTTGGCCCCAGCACTTCGTGCTGCCGCCTTCGCCGCCGCCTTCGCTGGCATCGCTGCAATGGCTTTGCCCACGGCGTCGATCTTGCCGTCCACCACCCGACCCCAGGTGGCAGGGGAAGGGCCGGAGAGGAACCAGGTGATCTTCACGCCCTCCTGCGTGTGGTGAAGTGGCAATGGCTAAGGTTGTTATAATATGTTAAAACTACGTAGGTTAACTGTTGGATTTATGGTAGATACATCGAACTAGTTAGTGTGGGGGTGTAAATTGTAAACACCACTGGGGGAACACCGTGTCCTGGGTTTTGTGCGCTGCGACGAATTGAAGCCAACGAAAGCGAGTTTCCACCCCAATTGTCTCATGAACCTTCAATTTTCTTTCACTGAAATAGAGCTGTTTTAAATCCTAACCTGGAACCTAAATTTGACTCGGATTTTTGATGCTTGACCTTCCATGTTGGCTTCCCCAATATTTTGCTCAAAAAAAACCTCCCAAAAAAACCTGCAGAGCAAGGGCCATCCAATCTGCGCCCCCTCCTTGGCCTTTTTGGCCCAAGCTGAGGACTTGGAGGTGTTTTGTTCCATGGCTTGGAACTTGGGGAACTTCACCGCCTCGGATCGAGAAACATTGGCTGTCGATACGCGTACAGGATTTAGATAGATAGATAGATAGATAGATAGATAGATACATGTTTTACATAATATGTCTATACATTTGTACACATATCTATAATTCTATGTATGTATCATATACATATTATAGACGACCATAAACATAAACCCTAGCTGGCCTACTTACAGACCAACTTTGCTAAGGTGGTTTCAATGACAACCAACAGTTGGACGTGACTGAAACTTGGTCACCTGAGAATCTCGTGGCTGATCATCATTTTCACCATTAAGCTTTGGCAATTTTGTTCTATCCGTGTTTGAGCATTTTGCAGTTGCAATAATTAGGTCCAAAAAAGGGGACTATTGTCCCGAAACATCACTTGTTGGTGGTTTCAACCCCTCTGAACAAATATTAGTCAGTTGGGATTATCATTCCTAATATATGGAAAAATAAAAATTGTTCCAAACCACCAACCAGATAAATACATATTTGATGGTGCTTTGAGGAGGGGAACAAGCACATCTTCAGACTCTGGATTACCCTCCCGGGACTAGGTCACAACCAAGATCACTGCCGGACAACTTCAATGTTGGTGCTCGAATTGCGGATCACTGCACGTATTCTTAACGGAAGTATACTGAACGACCAGCTCACATCTGTTCCAAAAACCTTTCTGTCATCCTCCACTTGGAAAACTGCTTGGTGGTATACCTACCCCTCTGAAAAATATGACTTCGTCAGTTGGGATCATCGTTCCCAATATATGGAAAGTCATAAGATTCCATGGTTCCAGTCACCACCAACCAGAAAATCATGTTGCTCCATTCCCAGCAATGCAAAGAACCGGCCTATTATGTGGACCAACACGACTGTGGATCCAAGTGTTTGGATGAACCTTTAACCATGACCCAACGGCCCAACAGTGAATCTCTATTGACACTGCTTCGAAAACGGCCAAAACTATTCTACAACTGGATGATCTGAAGGGGTTTACATGGGTTTACCAAGCCACCACTGGAAAATTGGAGGAGTCAATCCTTGCAACAATGCTTAGTCCTGCAATTTGGATGATTACTGAATCCTTATGATTACTGGGATAACCGTTTAACCCTTTAAAACAGGAATTGGTCGGTGAAAATGTCAGTTGGTCTTTAAGTGACATTTTAATACATGTTATACCTCACATGGCTACTTCTTACAATGGGGGGAACCCCAAATCATCTCCAATTTATATCATTATTCATAATGAAGATTTTCAGAAACATCCTATAAGATCTATAAGTACTCTCCGAAAAAAAGAAAAGTAATCAATAACTATTTCATAGGGATTTTGCTAAACTCAATCTTTTTGGGGATTATAAAAAAAATCCCAAATTGAATCAAACGGTCGGTTCGTAACGTTTGAAAACGTGCGAAGGAGCAAAAAAAAAAAAGGTGGGCTGGGGCCTTGCATCCATTCTTGCCCTTCGTCACAGCCAGTTTCTCGCCACTCCTCTGTACGCAGTCAAGATGAAACCAACACCCAATCGGCTGCAGTGGGGGCCCATAGTTAGCTAAGTTGGAGAATGGGGATTGGAATGGAGTTGAACTACACAAAATGGAGATGTATAAGATTTTATAGTCGATTTGTGCTAGCTAAGTGGGTAAACAAAAATACTGTAACCGTTTGATTTATTAATCAACTTACAGCTGTGGCGGTCCACCTTACAAGTGGTTCATAACCCATGTTTACCTGGGGTGTATCATGATATATTATATCCATCATCATAGAAGTAGAAGTGGGTCATATGGTTATTACTCACTTTCTAACCGGGAATGCGCATCCAAGTACCATGCAGGTTCGAAAGCGCGAAGGAAACCGTGAAACAAAGTCCCTGCCAGAGATGGATTGAAAACGGGTGGACCTCATGTTTTTTTTCAGGAATGCCCGCGTCTGACCATTAAATCACACGCATCAGAGCTTTCCATGCCAAGGCAGGTTGAAGTCATAAGTGCACTCAGCAGTTCTTCTAAGCGATGCCTACGATGGGAGAGGTATATAAAACTATGCAAAATATACTTGTGGATTCCTTGACAAAGACACGCAAAGAGTTTTCAAAGTGTGCTTCTGGGAGTGTTCGAAAATATGGTACCCACCGACCCCCAGTTTTCATAGCCCATAAATGGTCATAGATTGGGGTAGACCCTATTTTCAGACAAACCCATCTCTACTTTGGCATTATTTCGGGCAGCAGCTCTTACCAATCTGATTGCATTTTTCGGATTCTTGTGCCTTTGCACGAGGAACGTGACGGAAGTTCACTGCAAGTTGACCAGGCAGAGATTCCCTTGATGAGAACCAGCTAATGGCAGCTATAGAAGAAGGTACAAGGTGGTGCCCCCCCAAACGTTATAAATTGGTTGATAAACCCCATGAATACTATTTCGATATATCACCAACAAAAACCATAGTGAAATTGGAGTTATAAACAGTTGGGTGACCCGAAAAAAAAAAGGTAATCACCCAGTCATGGCGACCACAATAAAATGAGGTAAATCCAATGATGAACCATTCGGGGATGGTCCTGATTGCACTTTTGTTTTTTTGCGGATTTTAAGGGATGGTTTATAAAATTGGCTGTAACCGGGAGCCCACCTCGGTTCGTAAGTGGTAAGCCTTAAATAAACATAGGAAAACCATAGGAAAACCATAGGAAAATGGTGGTTTACTGGAACTTAATGGGATTTAATAGGATTTAATGGGATCTAATGGGATTTACCCTCCAGTAAATAAACATAGACCCTGGCAGTTGTCGGGGTTGGAAGATTAGTGAAACCACTAAAAACTGGTGATTTTCAGGGTCTATGTTAATTTACCAGATGGTATTATATATATATATAAATAATGTGCTTAAAACAATAATAAACTACCCATGACTGGGAATGGTTTATAGCACCTATAAAAATGGTGATGACTGGGGGATGGTTTGTTATTGTTTTAACCACATTAATTGTGGTAAACCCAATCATAGAATCATGTTTGAGGGTCATTTTTAGCCATGCGAATAGGTTCCTGGCTTCCTTGGGGACGATGTATACACGCAACAATCTTCACGAAAGTACCCAAACGGCTTGGTCTGAACATAATATACTCCCCGGTAATTTCACATATAGCTATTGAACATGGCCCATTTATTATAGATGATTTACCTATAAAAAAGGTGATTTTCCATAGCAAAATGTTAGTTTACCAGACTGTACCAAGAAATCCACTGAGTAATCATCATCTTTTCCAAACGATTTGCAAACAAATGCCATGAATTGGACATATGTTCAAATTTCGGACACACTGGACACAGCCATATACCATTTTGTTGGTTATGTCTCCATTCTATCTAAATGATATCCCCAATATCACCATCATAATTTATATCCACAGTATTACTTATGGACTGTTTCAGACACACACACACACACGCACACGCCAAAAAAAAAAGTAGCCACAGGACGATTATCATACCACTATTAACCACTATTAACCACTATTAACCAGGGACCTAGACTCCAAGGCTCTCCAGTTTCACTTCATCTTTTCCCTCATGGATTGCTTTATGCGCCGCCAGTGCGTCTGCTTCAGAAATCGTCATGTAGCAAACGGAGGGAACGAGACCGAAACGTAACAGCTGCGGAATCCGAAGGTGTCAAACATGAATTCTGGTGGGTGGTTGAGCCACCCCTCTGAAAAATATGAGTTCGTCAGTTGGGAATATGGTTCCCAATATATGGAAAGTCATAAAACATGTTCCAAACCACCAACCAGAATTGGTCAGCCATTCAAACCGTGTGCCTTTTTGTCATAAGTCACCCTCTGGTAAACTGACATTTTGCTATGGAAAATCACCATTTTTATGGGTAAATCAAGGAACTAAATGGGCAATTTTCAATAGCCAACTGTTAGTTTACCAGAGGGTAAGGGGAACATCATCACAGGAATGACATAACCATCAAATCAACCGCCAAATGATCTAATTGTAGCACTCCAATGTCGTTGATGATGAAAAGAGTAGAACACAAACAACAAACATAATCTTGAAGGGAGGCCAGGAACCAGGCAAACAACAAACAACACAATCATTTTGTTTACCTTGATGTCCAACATAATCTGGATGAATATGAATATGGTGTAGGGTGATGCAACACCCTGAAAATATAATGGATACCTTCGGGTAATGAAAAATAATGCAATGGAAATCCACCATTTGAAATATTTTTCCCAGTGAAACCTCAATTTCTGGGGGATTTCCGAGCCAGCCACGTTTTGCCGAAGGGTAATAGGGTATCTATCCCAATCTTCGAACGTTGCATGGAGAGTCGTGATGGGATATCTATGGATACCCGTCGCCTAAACATCACCACCAGTGCTGGCAACACTGCCAATAACCACCACCACCACCACCACCACCAGCACCACCACCACCACCACCAACAACAGCAGCAGCCAACAACAACAACAACAACAACAACAACAACAAACAACAACAACAACAACAACAACAACAACAACCACAACCACAAACAACAACAACAACAACAACAACAACAACAACAACAACAACAACAACAACAACAACAACAACTAACTAAAGAGAAAATAACAACATATAATAACCATATATATATATAATTAATTATACATAATAGCCAATAAACAACAACAAACATAGCTTAAATAACATGAAGAGGAGGCGCAGCAAGGGCATGTCTCTTTTGTCACGGCTTGGTGCCACGGCGCTGTTCGTCACGGGCCGACGGTGCCACGGCGAAACGTCATGGGGTCACCGTCCCGTCGGTCTTACCTGCGACCGACGAGCGATTTTGCGAGTCATCGAGATGTGGAGATCCTGACAACCACATCCTGAATAATTATATTCACCATATTGTGGTTAATAATTGTTAATATGGTAATATATGGTAATATATGGTAATATATTGTGGTTAATAATGGTTCAAACCATATACTAATGGTTAATATGGTAATATATGGTATATATACTAACATAGTGGTCTTACCATATATTAACCACATTTTACTAGATACTTATAGATATTCAGAGATGTAATTAGATACTTATATACAAGACATTAGATCCGTTCTACAGTACTATTAATTATTAGATAACTACTAGTGTTATTGGATGTTATTGGGAAATATTGGGAACACGTGGCCAACCAAAAAAATCGACAACAGATTTATAAATAATAATATCTAGTTATCTACTATCCTGAATCAACAAGTAAGAACTATTCTCTGGTTACTTTAGCAATCCAATCAAATCTAGTCAAATCTATTCTAACAATATTAGTATTCATTGGCAACCAAAAAGTTGCAAAGCAACATTTAGTTATTGCAGGAATTCGAGGGAGAGGCAGGGACTTCTCTAGAGCAGATTCAAGATGATTCAAGACATTAAATGATGTCTGCCCTCATGCCCTCAAGACTAAGAAGGGGTGCTGTGGAGAATCCCAAGACAATGTGATCAATTCTGAATCAAACCACCGATCAGAAATAAGATCGGTTTTCAACCAATAATCGGTGATAAATGCTGATAAACCTCCCAACAGAAAATAAAATTGGGAATCTCAGATGAAACAAAATTCAAAAAACATATTCTGAGGTTTCTGATAGACTTACGAATAAGGGGACAAGATACAAGGAAGAGAATCCACATCTGTCACAAGATCCCACAAAAAAACCAAGAAGAACACAGCACTGGGGATTCGAGCGTAGCCGCGCAGGCCACCACTTCTGGCGATCGGGAGTCGTCCAGTGGCGTTGTGCCAGTGGTACAGGAAAAATATAGATTCTTGTCAGTAATCCATTCTTTTGTCTGCCCTGCCAAGTGAGGGCCTCTAGATATAATTACAGAATGTGTGCCAGATAGAATATCAGTTTGTGGGGATCACTCGAAGAAAGTAAGCTTGTCTGTTCAACCAACTCTCCTACAACATCATACATACAATGTAGCGCCCTGTTATAAATTGGTTTGTAAAGCCCATTAACTCTAGTTATAAGTGTCACAAACCACAAGGGCGAATCTTGAACCATCTGTTGGGGGTCACCTTTCGGATTTTAGTGGGATGACTCTGGGATCTTACCACTTATAGAAGTAGGGATACTTCTCAACGATCATCTGGTGTATGGTTGTATTTCAAAATGCTACAATCTGATTACTTAACATTGTTACGGAACATGGCCCACTTATAAATGATTTATAACTCATTTACCTACAGCTCTGTCAAATTACCAGGGGGTATCCTTTGGTCGTTTCCTGCCAAGAAGTGATGGAAATGATGCATTTGACACACTTGAACTGCCACCAACACAAGAACCCCAAAAACACCTCCATCACAAAACAATATCATGATATGTAAATATTACATATATTTATATATATAATATACATATCTATATAATTATATATATGTTGTATCATCAAATCAAACATTTATAGTCCTCATTTAACCTCGTTGTACAACCTCAACCCAGTCATTGGGTCTTCGCCAGCAGTTTTCAGGTCCCAGGTGACCCTGGTGACCTCCATGGCGTCATGCATCCTGTGGCGGAAACCCAGCGGAGCTGGTTGAAACCCTCTGGTAATGGCTGTTACATAGCTATTGAAAATGGCCATTTATAGTAGATTTTCCCATGAAACATAGTGATTTTCCATAGCTATGTTAGTTTACCAGAGGGTATATTTGGGGAACCGGAAAAAATCCTGGTTTATAGAAATTCATAGTGGATTTTCCCAGCTATAAAATGGTGATTTTCTATAGCTATTTTTTTGTTTACCAGAGGGAAACTGGGAATTTTCCTTGGTTTGTGAATTTTATGAATCAACATCTCAACTGGAAACCATAGTTTCTACCATCAAATACAAGGGTGTCGTCCTGTAAGTTTTGCCGTAAACCGTTCCAATGAAACTCGGGAATAAGGTGGTCGTCTCAAGAAAATGATTCAAAGAAAGTGGTTCCCATTCACTTGGGAAAAGTTTGTTTCCAAAAAAAACATCAACCGACTTGCTGTCCTTGAGGTTTGCCTGAAAATTGGATACCCGCAATTCCGCAGGTGACTCATCATGTGTTCAAAAAAAACAAATGCTGTCTTACACCATAAAAAAAGGGCAAAGCCAACTGTAGTACTCTCTACCGTCTTGTCTTACTGGTGCTAAACGTAGGGCATTTTAGGGAATGATCCACTGGCTAACTATCAATAATCATCCCATTCCCCCATGCCCATCCATTACCTACGTAAAACGCACCAGTAAGTTGTTTTAACGGTCCCGGTTGTTTGATGTGAGCACGGGTTAGATGGACGGAATTGGAACACTGATGGAGGAATTCAGATCTGGTGCGGCACTATGAGGCACACCCAATACCCTCTGGTAAACTAACAGTTTGCTATTGAAAATGGCCATTTATAGTTGATTTACCCATTAAAATTTGTGATTTTCCATAGTTATGTTAGTTTACCAGAGAGTAGCAATAAATGAACTTAAATTGGAGGTACCTACCATATATAAGGCCTATTTTTCAGGCCTAAATTTCAGGGAATATCCCTATAGAATATGGCCTTATATGGTACAGTACCTCCATTTTAGGATCCTGAAATTCCCATTGATAAATCACAATCCGGAATTTTTCATTGGATATCACCTTACTGGTGCGTTTTACTTTGGGAATGGATGGGTTGCTGGGGGTTGCTGGGATGATTATTACTAGTGATTATGGATCATTCCCGAAAATTCCCTACGTTTAGCACCAGTAAGTCATTGGGTACATCCCTACATGGGATGATCAAAACTGAGCCCCTTGGTACCCCCATTCATCCCCCCCTTGGGGCGTCCCCCATTCATCGGGACCCCCAGTGACGGACCCAGGGCCCAGGGTGACCCAGGGACCTCGACCTTGTTCTTCTGCTCGCCCAGAAATTTGATCACTTCCTCCAAATTGTCAATCCATTGGGACAACCTCAGAAGCGCTTAAGCCACTGACGAGCCACGAAGATCACGAGGGGCGCCAGTGCAGCTTTGTCATGAACAGAGGTGCAAGCCATAGTGGGGATGTATACACTATAGTACACTATAGACTCGGCTGTACTTAGAGGTGCATTCCAGATATCTTGAGTGATTCAAAATGATGATGAGTCAATTTGCAGAACATCACGAAAAATCCCTACGATCTAGCCATGTCGGACTTCGAATATAGGCCTGGGGGTTTCCATAAATGGAGATATCCACAAATGGTAGGTTTATAATGGAAAATCCCATTTATAAATGCATGAAAACTAGGGGTACCCCCACTTAGGAAATATAAATGGATGAAAACTAGGGGTACCCCCACTTAGGAAATCCCATTTATAAATGGATGAAAACTAGGGGTACCCCCCCATGACTTAGGAAACCACCAAATTTCGGCAAGACACTTGGAGTCCAGGAAATTCCACTCCTCCTTCTCAAACTTCCGGAGGAAGGCCGACTTCACCAGCACCTGGGACAGTCAGAATCCAGGGCTAACCTGAAAATGGGGAGTTTGACCCTGACAGTTATAGCTGGTTGCTGGTATACCTACCCCTCTGAAAAAGATTAGTTAGTTGGAGTTACTCTTCCCAATATATGGAAAAATAGAACATGTTCCAAACCACCAACCAGATAGTCATTTTGAGATGGACAACAAATATATGATTCAACATCAATTTTTGGGGTAGCCTATTTGCAGACAAAACTATATATTCGTCTGGTTGAATCATGATGGGGAAGCCACAAAACATATAACTCCAATGAGCATATTCTAACGAAAAAGTAATGAACACCTATTTCCATTTAATACCTATATAGTCTGTCTGGGTGCCCGCAGAGTCTAGCTATCGATTTCCGTTCTTGTTCGTCTACTCCCTGAAGTGGATATTTAAAAAAATGGATCCACACCGGATTCGACTACAAGGGTGTGTATGTTAATGCAATTTATTTTGCTATGAATGTTGTTGTCATACACCCTTAAGCCCTTGAAGGCCTTTGTATTTTTCTTGGTTGACTTCAATTTTGTGCTTTTCAAACCAACTTCATCTTTTTGTGAGCCCAAGTCTGAAAAAACAACCAAATTTTGGTTGCTTTAAACTTTAAACACCCGCTCACCAGAATGGTGGCTTCACTGCTTCAGCCCCAATTTTTCAACCACCAAGTTTAAACATCCCCCGCGAAAAATGAACTGTCAAACATGATATGTTTCTGTCTATCAAACTCTCAACCAACGAAATGCTTGCTGAAGAGCCACCATCAAATGGTGCTTGTACCCCCCAAAATCAGAGCATCTCATCTGGTTGGTGGTTTCAACCCCTCTGAAAAATAGTATATAGACAGTTGGGATTATTATTCCCAATATATGGAAAAAGTAAATGTTCCAAACCACCAACCAGAGAACATCTCATCCCCCAACAGCAACGTTGAAACTGCCAGACCTTGCGGTTCAGCTGATCGATGCGGCCATCAATGACCCCCTCTGAGATGGCACGAACCACCCAGGCTTCGACGCTGCTGGGGCTCTCCTGCGCCGATTTTTGGCCTTCAGAGGTGACGTAGCTCATGGGACTTCGCAATGAAAAATGAAGATTTCACCAACAAATACCAACAGTCATGCAGGATGGGGCCCACCAGTAGTGTTTGTTGGTTTATAAACCATGAATTAATCCCCATTAACTATAGTTATATCTACCAAAAACCATAGTTAAACCACTTATAAACCAACTTAGCTATCTTGGCCCCATCTTGTGGGAATATCGAATATCATGGGAATATCATGGGAAATACTACAGAACCCCTTTGGTGCCATCAAACATGCAAGGTGGTTTTGCGGAGATTTAACTATGAAAAGACGGATTTTCAGCAGCAGTAATAATGGCGGTTTTTGAAGGGGATATAATCAATGGGAATTTCAGGAACCTAAATTGGAGGTACCTACCATATCTAAGGCCTATGTAAGGGAATATCCCCGCAACATATGGCCTTATATGGCATAGTACCTCCATTTTAGGATCCTTTTTTTTTCCCATTGATATAAATGGGAATATCATGGGGATTATCGATGGTATACCTGCTGGTAATCAAACATGGCTGGGACCTTTCAGAACTAAAAAAATGGTCGGTTTCTAACTGGATGATGTTCCAGCCATGTTTGATTACCGGGTACCAAAGAGTATAGGGATCAATGATACCAACTGGCATCAGGGTTGATAATATATTTCAATATATTTATTTCATGTATATATATATATATACACCTGCAGTTATAGTTGTATACACATGGTCAAATAGCAAGATGGATCTCAATATAAACTGTTCATTTTTTGGTACCTGAAGCCCCTAAATTTCACGGCTGGTCAAACCACATTAAGCCAACAATTGAAATGGGTCAATCAGTGTTCAGCTGTCTATATCCCAATCTTTTTTTTCAAGTTCAATCTCCTACTGAATGGACCCCGAAGTTATGTATGTTGGTTTATGTTCACCAATCCAACGGTAGGTATTATCCATGAAATAAACCCCAGGTAAGCTAGTCATAAATACCAACAAACCTATCATAAGACTTCAAAACTCACAGAATCTCACATTTCAATGACTTAAAATGCCTTGTTTTGGTATGTGTTGGTGCTTAAATTACCATAATCCTCCTATTCTCTTGGTGAAATCCTCCTATTTTCCCTCCTGGATCTGCTTGGCAATCTCGTCCAGGGGCAACTCGGACCTGGGATCTAGGATTTATGATAAGTTATCTTATCTTAGCTAAGTTAGTTTATAACTCATAGAACTGTTTGGTTTATAAATGTTTATTATATCTATATATATATATATATACACATATACAAATATATACATATATATATATCAGTACAGATAAATCTATGACATCTCGAACTGGTCTAACGGGTCAAACCAAACTTGTAGAAAAAAACATGCTGTCAGTTGGAACGATTATAGGCTTGAACAGAAGCCAAGACTATAAGACAGACCGCCAGCTATCTTCAAATTACTGACAATTATGATGATTACTCTTAGTGAAATTTGGTAAATCAAATTACTCTGGAAAAAATATGATGATTCACGAAGTAACTAAGCTGAAAAGTGAAAGGCAATTTTGAGACAGTTGTATCCAATCCATTCAGCAACATGCCAGTGACGTTGCGACGTGATGTCGTGATGAAATTTATCCAGATGAATCATTCCAGATGGACACTTAATAGAAATGGACAGTTAATAGTCATCATTCTTGGATTTGGGATGCAAAAACCTAACAGGCTCTGATTTAGAACATACAGTAGTAAGTCAATGTAATTGATATAATCTGTTGTAGATCGGATATATCCAGATTTGGGTCAGTACCGGTTGATGGTTTTCGATGTAAAGGTCAAAAACTATGGAGAGTAACTTGATAGTTTGCTATTTATAACATGGTGAGTTACCAGCTGACCAGTTGTAGATGAAATATGTTCACTAAAATATGTTACTAACCATGTTTTGTCTTAGATATCCGGGAAAGAACATCATTGGTTGAACAGTTGTTGCTACCTGCGTTGGCAAAGGATTAACGATCTAGATATACTCGATTGTGTTGTCCCTTTGAACTAGTTCGATCCATCTACCAAAAGTCCCAATCGATGTGTTTACTTAGCGAGACAAATCGGTCACCTGTTGTAATGGAATGACTTTTCCGAATGGTACCATTTGGACAAAACAAAGCACCAGATCTCTGTGAAACTACGGTCCATCTGGCGGAGTCATGCTGAAAGCTGTTCTCTCCAGTGGGTACCCTGGTGATCCCTGGTGGCCTGTTCCCATCTAATGTCAACCCCGGATTTTGCTAAACCATGGTTTATGAATTAGGGGGTACTCCTCCAATAGTCATTTCATCTAATATTGAAATGGTACCCTCCCAATTAAACAGCCGTTTGAGTCTAGGCCTAGAGTAGATGCATCCCCAAGGGTGGAACGACCCTATCTGATTCTCCTGAAATCCCCATCCAAGCCATCCAAGCCATGACATTCCCATTGGTTGCTGATGCAGATGTGGGGGTCCAAAATCTTCAACTGATCCCAACTGATCCCATGCCCCAACTGATCCCAACTGTAGATAGGCCTGGGGGGTTCCATAGTCATGGGGATACCCAATAGCTGGATGGTTTATAAGGGAAAATCCTATTAATTAAATTCGATGATTTAGGGGTAGCCCCATTTTCGGACACCTCCATATGTATATATATATATGTATTATATATATGTAAATCATACATATATTATTATTATATATATATATATGATTTAAATATATATATATATATATATATATTTTTTAATTATATCATATTATAAATAACATACATATATTATATTATATATTTAAATTATATATAATATATTATATATTACATTGTTTTATCTTATATAATATATTTTATATATTATATAAATATTATGTATTATATATAATGCATTATATATTAAATATTAAATATTGTATATTAAATATTATGCATTATGTATCATATATTTTTTTTAAAAAAAAATAAAGTTTATATTTTATATATTATATATATTATATATATATTACTAAACATTTGATATATTGTATATTAAACAAAATATAACATAGTTTATATTATATGTTAAATATTAAATATAAATTAAATTATATATTCTATTATAGAACATTAAAACATTTATACAAATAATAATATATATATGTATGATATACAAAAAAAAATATAATATACATATGCATATATAATATATTTTTTACATATATATATATATTATTATATATTATATAATAGTTCATAATATTATATGTATGACGTATATTCAACAATTACATGTCTGGTTATTAAGCAAGTCACCCGGCGTTTGGGCGTTGGGGTCCTTCATGTTCTGAGATCCCCTGGCTGTCCCCTTGCCATGGTCGCTAAGGTCAACAGTCGAATCTTGGACATGGCATCCTGACGTTTTGTCCGCCCAATGACAGTCTAATTGGTGGTTTCAACACCCCTGAAACATATTAGTCAGATTCGATCATCATGCCAACTATTGGAGAAAAGAAAAAAATGTTCCAAACCAACAACCAGCAGTAAATGTAGTCTTGACAAGCACACATTGATGAACATACTGGGTATGATGTATGATTATGTGTACACATACATATATGTATATATATATACATATCGTATATAATATATGTATATTCATGTAGTTTGAATACACACTGTACATCAAAATATGTTATACGTGCGTATATATTATTATATATAATATTTGGCTGTCCTTTGTAAGTCTTGCTTCGCCGGGAGGAGTTGTTGAATGTCCTAGCCTCAGAACATCATTTAAATCCCTTGTGTTTATACCTGTCTACCTTTACCAGCAACAAACAAATAGGTAAACACCATACCATTCTAAGATGCAATGGATTTAAAACCTCACTCAACCATTGAGGGCGATTATCAACAGTAAACATCTGAATCAATAGAGTGATGTCTAAAAGAACTAAGAGGGACGTGGGACGTTTATTATCCACTGGTTCAAAACTTCAATGGAATTATCATCCCCCACTAACAGTTCGAGCCAGTTCAAGCCTGAGAATCACCAATGTTTCCCTCGTTGATGGCGGGGTCTTTGTGAATTGTATCATATTGTAAATGCTTATATACATATACATGTACATATGTATGTATAAATATATATATATATGTATACATTTATGTGATTATATTTACCATCTGGTTATCTAACATAGCTATGGAAAATGGCCCATTTACAGGTGATTTTCCCATTAAAACCTCCATTTATAAGGGGTATTCCATGGCTACATTAAATAACTAGAGGGTATATTAATGTAATGTTGGCTCCTGATTAGTAGCTAGGTTCGCTATTGTGGCAAATTTTCTCCAAATTATTCTGAAACCCATGTATTGTTTGGAGGGTTCACTTTTGTGGCAAAAAAAATGGGAGATGTTTTTTTGCAAAAAAAAAACCTGGAATTGCTGAGAGGAAGACTTTTTTCCAAAAGCAATTGCCAAATTCAAACTCCAAGCCTTTCCCAAAGGAGCAAATCCCTTATTAAACCCTTATTAAAGAACAGCTTTTCCACAATTTACCAAGGCCCTGGGCCAGGAGAGGCTCCATTTCACTTTCGTAGGTTTGTTTGCTGGGTTCACTATTGTAGTAAGCTGTGCCAGAGCAGCTCCTGGAAGCCCAAAAGAGAAGCAAGCCTTTTCCAAAAGCAATTGCCTAATTCAAACTCCAAGCCAGCAAATCCCTTATTAAACGCTTATTAAAGAACAGCTTTTCCACAATTTTCCAAGGCCCTGGACCAGGCGAGGCCCCATTTCACTTTAGTAGGTTTGTTTGCTGGGCTCACTATTGTAGCAAGCTGTGCCAGAGCAGCTCCTGGAAGCCCAAAAGAGAAGCAAGCCTTTTCCAAAAGCAATTGCCAAATTCAAACCCCAAGCCTTTCCCAAAGGGGCAAATCCCTTATTAAGCCCTTATTAAAGAACAGCTTTTCCACAATTTTCCAAGGCCCTGGGCCACGAGAGGCTCCATTTCACTTTAGTAGGTTTGTTTGCTGGGTTCACTATTGTAGTAAGCTGTGCCAGAGCAGCTCCTGGAAGCCCAAAAGAGAAGCAAGCCTTTTCCAAAAGCAATTGCCAAATTTAAACTCCAAGCCTTTCCCAAAGGAGCAAATCCCTTATTAAACCCTTATTAAAGAACAGCTTTTCCACAATTTACCAAGGCCCTGGGCCAGGAGAGGCTCCATTTCACTTTAGTAGGTTTGTTTGCTGGGCTCACTATTGTAGCAAGCTGTGCCAGAGCTCCTGGAAGCCCAAAAGAGAAGCAAGCCTTTTCCAAAAGCAATTGCCAAATTCAAACCCCAAGCCTTTCCCAAAGGAGCAAATCCCTTATTAAACCCTTATTAAAGAACACCTTTTCCACAATTTACCAAGGCCCTGGGCCACGAGAGGCTCCATTGCACTTTAGTAGGTTTGTTTGCTGGGCTCACTATTGTAGCAAGCTGTGCCAGAGCAGCTCCTGGAAGCCCAAAAGAGAAGCAAGCCTTTTCCAAAAGCAATTGCCTAATTCAAACCCCAAGCCTTTCCCAAAGGAGCAAATCCCTTATTAAACCCTTATTAAAGAACAGCTTTTCCACAATTTACCAAGGCCCTGGGCCAGGAGAGGCTCCATTTCACTTTAGTAGGTTTGTTTGCTGGGCTCACTATTGTAGCAAGCTGTGCAAGCTGTGGGTAATACAAGTACTACAAGCACTACAGGTACTACAAGTACTACAAGTACTACAGGTACTACAAATACTACAAGTACTACAAGTACTACACGTACTACAAGTACTACAAGTACTACAAGTACTACAGGTACTACAGGTACTACAAGTACTACTAGTACTGCAAGTACTACAAGTACTACAAGTACCACAAGTTCATCGGCAAAAAACAGTTTTAATTAGATTTCAATTGTAGCCAATTGAAATTCTTACTTGAGTGAGGATTTGCTTTTCTCTTGGGAATAATTTTTTTGACTTTCCACTTTAAAGAAAGTCCAAATATTGTTTTGGGGGGGGGGCCTCACACTAATCAGGAACCAACATTATAGTATATTATATGTGTAAATAGTTGGGATGCTAATCCATTTTGAAACATATGTCCTGATGGAATGCTTCCACCGTGTAGTGATTGGTAGGACTTTGACGTGGTCACCGTCTTCCTCTTCTCTGGATGATAGCGAAAACTTGCATGCATCCTTTCCATTCTAAGGATTTCAAAGCCGGCACCACCTTCTTGACATCTTCAACCTTTGGCAAATCTTGTTGGGACGGATAGCAGATCTTGCAACAGCTGCAGTCCTGTGTGCCCTTTTTCGCCCTGGACGGCCGGCCGTTTCGAGCGTGTGCGAACCACGGGTCTTTCTGCCATTGCAGGTGGCTCAGACCTCGGACATGTCCGTAGCAGGCAACAACATGCAAGAATCTAATCTAGTTGGTGGTATACCTACCACTCTGAAAAATATGAAATTCACTTGGTATGATTATTCCCAATATATGGAAAAATGTTCCAAACCACCAATCAGCAATGGTTGTTTCATCACACGTGCATAACCAACTCCCACTTTAAAAATCTGATGCCCCCCAAATGTTTGTTGGTTTATAGCCCCCATTAACTAGTTCGACATATCTACCGTAAACCCTATAGTTAAGCTAGTTATAAGTTATAACCCGACTTAGCCAACAAACTGGAGCATCGCCCTCCGTAAAACCTCAATGCTACCCTAGACCTCAGTGCTACCCTAGAAGCGACCCAAAACACCCCTCCGCTGAAATCTGTCCTGGAAATTGAGACCGTGCTCGTCAAACAGCTGTCCATTCTTCTTCTGAAATTCCTGTTGATAGGGTGTCGTTTTTCGCAGCTGCCATGGTCGCATTGTTCAATCCGATCTAAGCCGTGGCAATAAGATCTGAGATCTGTCACAACATGCTCGTTTAAGCCCTCGTTTAACCTGGACTGCCATTGATGTACTGGATGCAATCTTAGCAAAGCCATATGCTCCATGTATAGTATATTTACCTACAAAACTGGGCCATTTGTGGGGTTTCTATGTAGGGATTCATATTCCAGCACCATGGTTCGCATATGGGTAAGTAGTTGGAATCTGAATATATACTGGTTGGTGGTGACTGGAACCCTGGAATTCTATGACTTTCCCATCATATTGTGAATGGAATGTCATGATCCCAACTGACGAACTCATACGAAGTCATATGGGACAGTTGCCATGGATATTCCCTGGTTGGTGGTTTCAACCCCTCTGAAAAATATTAGTCAAAATGGGAATGATTCTCCCATATATATATATATCCATATCTTATGGAAAATAAAATTCATGTTTGAAACCACCAACCAGAATTATACTCCCAAATATATTCTGGTTGGTGGTATACCTACCCTCTGAAAAATGATGGAGTTCGTCAGTTGGGATGATGACATTCCCAATATATGGAAAAATATATTCATGTTCCATAAACCAAATATATCACCATTATAATCACCAATTCCTGTACTTTCCTCATGAAGATTTCCACTGCCATCTCCGTGCCGGATCTCCTTGAGGTCATCCACCGTGCCGGACCTCCCAGCCAGATCCCCATAGATCCCCATTCTATGATCCCTATGTGACAATATATTATGGAGATATATATAGATAGATATATATATATATAATTATATATATAATTATATAATATAAAATTAAATATATATATATATATATACATGGTTTCATCAGTTTCATCAAACATTTTTTTAAGTAACCATGGTTTCGTTTGGGAGGTTTTTTTGGTGCATTACGGGCAAAGGATTACATCATATTACATCCATTGTTGATAGTCATTGATGGTCCGAAGACCATGGTTTCATCTTTTCCTGCAACCAGCGATGGATGTGCTGTCGCAGAAAGTGCTGCCTCATTTCTGTTGCAACTCTCAGAACATGCTCGACTACCTCGGGGTGAACGTAGAAAAAAATGTGGAAACCCATGGTTTCCCCATGGTTTCCCCAGGATGATCTACATTCATGGTGGGTTTTCCACATCTATGTAAACGTTTAGAGGAGGCTATTCATCATGCAATCTATGAGCGTTTTAGAGGTTGGTCGGGCTATTAAGTCCCCGTTTAATCCGTTAAATTTTCTTTGTGCAGGAAAACTATCCCTACCTACTCAGAATTATCATGGCTAATCTCGTCCGTTCTTTGTTGGGTATACAAGTATACTAATCCAATTTATGGCATGGTTCTATTTTTTGTTGGGTTAAAACATACCCATTACCCTTCAGTGAACTAACATATACATGGAAAACCCATCATTTGTAGATATCCTTTTCTATGGATTTCCATAGCTGTTTGTATGTTTATTGGATGGTACCCACCAAATCTGCCCCACATTTTGGTCGTACAATGTGTCGCCTCCCAGTCAAAAGTTGGTTTATGGTTCCATTAACTAGTTCGATATATCATATATCATCACATATCTACCATAAGTCCAACAAGTATCAGAGTGTTCTCATCCCACTTAGCTACCAAAAACCAGCTATAAATCCCGTGAAATCCCCTTGTTTTCTTGGTGAAATGAACATGTTCCTATGGAACAAGTGTTTCCTATGGGTTTTCCAATAGTTTTCCTATGGTTTTCCAATGGTTTCCACAGTTATGGCCCGAAATACCAGTTATAAGTACTAACAAAACCCCATTTATAGAATGTATAATCCCAGTTATAACCAGTTATAACTAATAAATGGCCATAACTGCAGCATCGTCCGAAATGCGAAATCGCCATTTCGGGAGCACCGGGGCACCAGACAAGAACACTTCGCAGAGCGTCACCAGACCCTCCTGCTTGGTGCCCTTCAAGGCCTCCGAAAAAAGGGGAAGTTCCTGAAACCATGGTGAGATTCAACAAATAACGGGTGAAATTTTGCCGCTTTTCCATCATGAAACATGGAGGGACAAAAATAACTTTAGTGGTCAATTTAGAGTATATTAGAGTATATTCATGGCAAATCTTAGATGCCTGCAACAAAAACAACAACCACTTATTTTTTAGCTGGTTAATTGGATGGTTTTTACCATGGCAAAAGATTGAAGTATCTAGAAATCATGAAACATGCAGGAACTGAGAGAACTAAGTGAAGTTAAGTGAAGTATCAGCAAACATCTCGTCATTTAGCCAGCAAACATCTCTGAACAACTATGAAGCAACCACCATTTCTAGATCATTTCCGAAGCACACCAATTGATTTTCAAATGATTTTCCATATGTTACCCTCTGGTAAATTAACATAGACCCTGGCAGATAGGGGTTGGAAGGTTAGTTTCCATAAACAATTGGTGATTTTCAGGGTCTATGTTAATTTACCAGAGGGTAAATGATTGTCCATATGTTAGCTTACTGGAGGTAAAGGAGGAGTTGTAGCTTTCAGGGAAGCAGCAAACATCAGCAATCCTGCAGCAATTTGCATTCAACGTACCTCGTCCGCAGAAAAGACTCCAGAATGTGTTGAAATATCATGTGGATGCCATCTACACATGAATGAAACATTCAGGATCTATGATCTGATGCGAAAAAATAAACAACACTATGACTTTGGGTGTGTCTGAAAGTGGGGTACACTCCCTCCGAATGGCAATTTGAGTGAACAACATGATTGTTAATCAGTGGATTTAGGAGTACCCTATTTTGAGAGCGCTGGCTCTCCGTATCATCCAGACGCTGGCTAGTGCTCCCCATTCTGTGACATATTTGTAGTAATCCTGACAAAGAATAGACAAATTAGCTGGACATTTTCGAGTATATATGGGGGGTTCCATAAATAGGGCTACCCCAAAATGGTTAGTTTATAGTGGAAAATCCATCTGTAATGGATGACGTAGGGGTACCCCCATTTTAGCAAACCTCCATATGGGGTTTCCTAAAATGGGGGTACCCCAATAGCTGGATGGTTTATTTCATGGAAAATCCAACTAAACAAATGGATGAATAACTGGGGGTAGCACCATGACTTAGGAAACTTCCATACAATGTGGGCCCCCCCAGTTATAAGTTGGTTTAGATTCGCCACAGTAACTATAGTTATAAGCACCATTAACCATAGTTATTGGAGTTATTTGCACCAACTTAACTATCGAACGGGGCCTCACATTGTATGGATCGCCTGTGGGCTGTACTTGATCTACTTGATCCGGACCATATAAAACTGGAAAAATCCGCAGCCAGATGGCCACTAAAATTGTTGATTTCGGTGTGTCTGAAAATAGGGAAGAGCTATGGCTGATGCCACCCTAAAATGGCAATTTCAATAACCGGATAATCATGAATAACCAATGGCTATTTTCAAACATAACAAACCCATTTGTCCTAGACTAATGTGTAATGTTAGTAAAGTAATAGTACACCATCAGCAGTGCTATAAACCATGAACATTTGGGTGGTTAATTATTGCTGTACTAACATTAATAATAGCTCGATTCACGGTTTATAGCAATGGTGAATAACTAAATTAAACGTGGATATGTGTAACACCATTAACGTTAATATTATATTGCTATAAATGTCCACATTTATGGCTCGATTCGGACGGGCGCTACGTCTGGAATGATGGGCTGAATGATGCAATCGATGGATTCGCTGTTTCTCTTGTAGATATTTTCATAGCAACAGATTTATAAAAGTACTAAGGACCCATGTTCAACCCCGAACCTAGGATCTGAATGTTGAGTTCCTGTTCATTTTTACAAAATTCCCCAAAGTTATGGAGGTTTCCTAAGTCATGGGGCTACCCCTAGTTGTCATCCATTTATTGATGGATGTTCCATGTTTCTTTTAACCATCCAGCGAGCTTGGGGTAGCTGCCCCATGGAAAGCCACGCCTTCACGGAGTCCAACATCAGGACGTCATCAAACTGAATGATCACCGGAAGCGTGATGGCATCCTGACAAAAAATCCCTGGGGATCAGTAAGTGGATGTTCCATACTTAGTAACTTAGTATAGCCAATTACTGAAAAAATACGAGATTACTAATAAGTGGGTATTTAAACATACAATCTTACTAATTAGTATGGCACGGTATAAGCCAATTTGACAGGTACTATGATATGATAGCATCTTTGTTTGCATTTTAAGGCCGATTTTTGCTGTTCGGATGTGATTGGAACCCCCAATTATGAACTGAATGGGGTTGGATCTCCAGTGAATGGCTTTGGTGTTTTTTCTGCAGAAAGCATGGACTGTACCGGCCAAAGACATGGTTTTCCTCTAGCTTTTCCCTTAAACCAATTCTGCCAACAGTGTATATAAGCATCGAATCCGGCACTTTTGGTACTTTGTCAAGGGACAATTTTGGATTCAAATGGATTCAATCTCAAGGCTCTGGGCAAATCATGGCAAATCACTATAATTATTCCATTTGATTATTTGGCAAACCACTATAGATGAAACTTAGTAAGGACATTGTCCTGAGAATTGTTGAGAATCATGGCAAATCACTATAATTTGAATAAACCATCATATGCCATTATAATAACATGGAAAATATATGAAAATAACATCCCAAATCGCAACTCAACAATTCTCAGGACAATGTCCTTACTAACCTTCATCTATAGTGAGGTCCCGTGAGGTCGTTCTTGCGATCGGCGGACAACTCGCAAGTCGGGCTCAAGAAATAGTTACCCTAGGGTAAACTAACGAAAAAATGTGGAAAAGCCACGAAAAACCCATAGTTTCCCAGGGAAACCAGTTTATCAATGGTCGATTTTCCACATCGACCAGTTAGCTTCTGGAGCTGTAGTCATGGTTAAGTACAGCCAACCTTGTCTGGAAATTTGGCTGAATTGGCTGAATATTTTTTAGATAATCCCAACTAATTAATATTAATGATTTTTTTGGCTGAATTGGCTGAAAAATATTTGGCTGAATTAATATATCATATACCTAAGTCACCTAGAAAAAAAAACATATTTTTTAGATAATCCCAACTAATTAATATTAATGTTTTTTTTGGCTGAATTGGCTGAACAATATTTGGCTGAATTAATATATCATATACCTAAGTCACCTAGAAAAAAACATATTTTTTAGATAATCCCAACTACTAATCATCTGCAGTGACGTCGGAGGTTGTCGTACTTCACCCAGACAAATATGTTTGTTTCCATTTTCTCAATTAATTGGTCAAAGTGAAAATTTGCAAAACCTTTTGACCCCCACTCATGTGTTGTTGGTTTGTGTTACCCCGATGAAACCTTGCAGGGGATGGTTTCCCCAATCCTAAGCATCAGTGATGTCACGATGGTCATGATTTTTTTAAACCCAGATTATTGTGTTCCCATTCCACCATGTATGATTATACCACAATGTTTGTTGGATAAATCGCCCACAAATTCATGGTCAAATCAGAAATGAAAACTCATGGGAAAAATCCAGATAGTCTATCCAAATCATTCCTTCAAATTCCCATTTTCTTGATTATATCAGCATTATATCCTGGTTGGTGGTTTTAACCATCTTGAAAAATATGAAAATCAAATGGGAAAATGACATCACATATATGAAATGGAAAATAAAAGTCATGTTTGAAACCACCAATCAGATTATAATCCCCAATATATTGGGCAGTATAATCCCCGAACCAATCATCCACCAAATTATATCACCATTATAATCACCAGATATTTTTGAATATCTATAATCCCCTATAATCATCAACCAACAAGGGTTTTGAATATCGTTGCTGTCTCCAGAAAATTTGATTCTTCAGTTCCCGGTCGGTGAAACTCACCCCGGTTTTTATCGCTCCTTGATCAGCTGAATGGTCTGATCCGCGACCTGTCTCTGCAAAGATGGCAGCCCATGGTTGAGTTGTCCCAGGTCTGCTACAGACTGTGAACCCTGTAATCATTAAAAATACAAAAAAAAAATAAAAAAAAAAAATACAGCTCCAAATTACAAAGAAAAATGCAACACTGAGCAGGGCAAAATTATCAACCAAAGGAAAATACAACATACATTGATGGATTCGCGGTTTTGTTCTTTGACGGCATGTCTAAAGAACGCAAAAAATACAAAAGGACAAAGTGCAATCTGTGAAGGACTGGAAAAATACAAAAAATACAAAAATACAAATTGCACTTTTGGACGTAATGGAAAAATACAAAAAAAATACGAAAATTCAAAGTGTATTTTTTGTATTTTATTTGTATTTTTTTCGTATTTCTTTTGATTTTGTTTTTTTTTTAAATACGAAAAAAATACAAACATACGAATGCAATTGCTCAAAAATACACAATACAGAAAAAATACGAATCAACAATTTCAAAAATACAAAATACAAAAAAAATACGAACCCAAAATTTCAAAAATACAAAATACAAAGAAAAGACAAATTCAAAAATAAACCAGAGAGCCAACCCCGTGTTCACTTTTGGAAATCAGGAACCAAAATACAAAAAAAATACAAAACCAACCAGTTGTATTTTCCAAACCCTGCAGTTCTGATTTTGTATTTTTGGGTTGTATTTTTTTCGTATTTTTTTTTGTATTTTTAAATATTGGCAGAAGACCCTTCTGTAGCCACCCCGGACAACTCAAGCCCATGGGAGACGTGCCCCCATTCGATAGCTAACTTGGTTACCCGACATGGTAAACATAGAAAAAACTATGGAAAATCACCATTTTTCATAGGTAAATCAACGATTCAAATAACAATTTTCAATAGCAAACTGTTGAATTACCAGGGGGTAACTATAATAACTAGGACTTAATAGATTAATACGTCGAACTAGTAACTTACAATAGGAGATGATTTGGTCATAACTAGGTTATAACTAGGACTTATGGTAGATATGTCGAACTAGTTTTCACGGATTGAAAAAATTAAAGGACCGGATAACCCCACAAGTCAACTTCTTCCAACAAGCAACAAAAGAAAGGCAAAGACGGCATGGGGTAAGCAAGAAAGAGAAAAGAGATGGTGAAGGATAGGTGTGGAGTAAGTTATGTGTGGACGAGTATGTGTGAGTAAGTTGTGTGTGGATGAGTTGTGTTTGTGGGTGAGGTGTGTGGGTGTGCGTGTGTGTGTGTGCGTGTGCGAGTATGTGTGTGTGGTGTGCGGCCACGATCAAAGATGCCCCACGCCAGGAAGTGCGGCGAAGGGCAATCGATGCGTGACCATTGATTATGTGTCCGCAAACGTACAGCGCAGACCATCACGAAAACGGATGGCCCACGACTGGCGTTTGGATGATGTGTGTGTGTGTGTGGGTGTGTGTGTTTGTCTGTGTGTGTGTGCGCGTGTGTGTGTGTGTGTGTACCATCTGAACAGATGTAAAACTTCTGATTGGTTTTCACTAGTTTGCAGGGGGGTGCAGAGCACAGTGGAGACTGCACCCAACGAAGCTATCCACTTGTGCTGGAAGCAGAGTCTGATCAACTCTGTGTACCTGCAAAATTTGGTTTCAACTGTTGATCAAGCTGTTACACTGCGTTGTTTCGAATCTACACGGTTGCCACAATCTGTATTGCATGCATCAGAACCTTCCTCAGATTTTCGCCGAAACCATATCGCCGACAGTATTATGATTTTTTGACATATTTTCGCCGAGATCATGTCGCCGACGAACTTTGGGTTATTTTGGGAAACAATCGCCGAAACATTATTGTGGATTCTCAACATGCTGGTTAAAACTCTATGGATTCTGGTTTTGACTTCGTTTGACAACATTGGATGCCCTACATCGTTTTCGAGAAGTACCTCATGTGGCTCCTTTACTAATCTAACGATCTAGGCTGGTTTGCATGTTTCAGGATTCAGTTCCTGCCGGATCATATAATGATCCATTCTTGTCTAGTGTGATTTCCATGGTGGCTCCGACATGGTGACATGGAGCCACTTGAGGCAACCCTTTTCAGGGTGAGTGTTGACAGTCTTGAACTCTGAATTCACACATTTTAATTTGGTAATTCGTTTACGTAATGTGCAACAGCTGGCCTTTCCGTTTTGCACCTTTTGTGATGTCCCGCGCTTCCGGCTGTCCTTTATGAACCCAGTGAATGCATCTCTATTGAGTGAAGCTACTTCGAACTACCAGAAACCTTTTTTCTCTGCAGCTTGCGCATTTGAAGTTCAACATGACATTCACGACAAAAGGCAACAGGCATGTCCTTTTCCTGCAGGTGTGGTCTCTTTGGTTTTTGGTGAGGTGAAACATTTTGTGCATCTAATTCGTTGGAATTTGGAAGCTGTTTTATGCCTTCGTGGCACGACTTGACCACGGTCCCGGTGCAGGGAATAATTGCACGACATCTTAGGCAGTTAGGGACTGAATCCTGTATGTGATTGTTCACTTTTTTCATCTGCTGAAGCGATGCATCCGTGGAACCCTCCGCCAACGTCCTGGCCTGTTCCACCGCAGCCTACGAACGCACCTCCGACGTGGCCGCAATCATCACAGAACGTACATCTATTTGGACATCCTTCAGCCTTGCATCCTACATGGTCTTCTTCAGCTTCGATCATGCCGTCTACATCATCCCCAACATCGTTGCCGTTTACCTCATTGTCTCCGGCTCCTCATGCAGTACCAGGCCCACAGCTCGTACCCACCATGCCTGCACCTTTGACCTCCGAACCCACAATGGCGCACACCGCTCCTTCGACTTTCCCATCTCCTTCGGCACCCACCGCTCCACCTGCCTGGCCTTCTCCACCGACTTCATCTCCTACGTCGACTCCACCACCTACATCGACTATGCCACCGACACCTTTGCCAAGTTCCCCTTACCCACCCCATCACATTCAACCTCCATTACAAACGAACGCATTGATGGTTTCTCCTGATGAACATCCTCCACGGCCTCCTGCAGTTAAGGCAGCTCCCAGACCTCGCTCTGACAAAAGAATGGATCGACCGCGCAGGCCAGCTTCAAAAGCCCCTTCTTCGACTACACCACCAGCACCCACGGCAGCACCGACGTCATCCGTGCCACCCGAACTGGTTGCATTGGGTTCCACTACACAACAACTTGCGGAATCGGTTCGACTTATTCAAGCTCAGCAACAGGTGATCATGGATACTCAACGGGCCCAAGAACAACGTCAGCTACTTCTCCAACAAGATGGACCTCCACCGAACCCTATTCCACACATACCACCACCTACGCCCGTGCCACCACTGACAACCACACCTCCACCCGCACCGAAAGCCAGACCTACCGAACCTGACGTTCCGGACCTTCGCATTGTTCAAGCCCCGGCCATTGCTCCTCCTCATCCACTACCAGTTCCATCATCCCCAACACGCCGACCAAGATCTAGGACTCCACGACCACGTTCCCTTCGACCTTCGGTACATTCTCATCGCCACCGCTATTCTCCTCCACGAGCAGAGCGACCTCGTTCTCCTCTCCCTCGTCATCGATCATCCACAAAACCGGACAAGGGCCGCAGAACCCCATCTCCATACAGACGACGCTCCCCACCACGACGCCGCTCTCCCGTGGTCCCTCGACGTCATCGATCTCGGCCACGTCCACGTTCCGCGACACCACGTCACAGATCCAGAGGCCGTGAAGTCATACTCCGACCAGCTGCAAACCCATCGAATCCGAACTACATCCCCACTCCCGATGCTGATGACACCTGGGGCACATGGAACGACAGTCACTACACCGACAACGACCATCACCACAATCCTCGACCCAATTCTCCTGCCGGTCCACCACCAACGGAACCACCAACCAACCCACCAACCCACACTTCAGCACCACTCGGCGCGGTGTCCTTCCGAGTTCCGGACGGCGACAGTGAAAATTCTGAATTTACAGATACAATTTCGCTCACCAAGTTTGACACGAATGACATCGACCTCGATGAAATGGTGGCGGCGGCCAATGACCCCCATAGGGTCCGTTGCCTGACTGAACTTGACCCCGATCATGTTGTTCCTCTACGCCGATCATTGACCCCGGCTATCTCGCAGCTCTTCAACCAGTTTGTGGACGCGATGTTCGAAAGGTTGGCTCAACCATACCGCACCGTCAACAACCATCGTATTTACATCAAAGCAAGTCAAGCCACCGTCAGGAATATTGCCAGGGCCTTTGCACAATCCGACTTACTGGACATCGAACTCGCAAGGCAAACACAGGCCTTCTACATCGAGCCAGAAAACTTGCTGACCATCACGGTTCCCACAGGATTGAAGAAGAAACCAATCTACCGTGGCGAACACATGGGCACCTACCTGATCTACCACAAAACGAGTTGGGAATCAGTTGCCAAAATTCTTGCGGAGGACTGCATTCGCCCGGCAACTTGGACCAAAAACGAAGCCGGCATGCCGACTCAATACCCATGTTACGGGTTCTTCGGAATGTCCTCAGAGATCGCAGACATCGACCACCTACCCGGCTATGCTGTCAAGATCTGTACCTCTCAGCTCTACAAAATAGGCAAAGGACAAAACCCATCAGGCCTAATGGCCATATGCCGCTCACCCAAATGCATCCGTGCCCTAGCTGGAGGAAATGACCAAATCCAACGCTTGTGCAACCTTGCGGGCATCGCCAATGGCCATATGCCGCTCACCCAAATGCATCCGTGCCCTAGCTGGAGGAAATGACCAAATCCAACGCTTGTGCAACCTTGCGGGCATCGCCAAGGGCAAAGACAATGCAACGGCTATGAACTCAAGCGCCGCATCTATATGCTACGTTGCCTCCACTCACACGGTTTTCCCGGGCTTGATCACACACCAGACTGCAGAGACCAATGCACCTTCGGAACCTCCTGATGATTCTACACGTCCAGTACGACCTGACCCTTCTGC